CATATGGGCGGACATCTATTTAATCTCTTTTCCAGATTAGGGTTCATTTTCCTTCATCTGTTGGATTACCAGCAGAAGAAGCAATCCAGTTTTTTTCCATATCAGGTTTCATCTCTTGGTTGAAGAGAACTTTCTTGTTACTTTATCAATGTTCCTTGTGATCTTTATCCAATCAGAATTTTGTTTTTCCTTCTGGGAATTTAGATGGGTATCTGATTTTTTATCTGTTTGAAACATGTTCGATTTGATCAGACAGTTCTTGTTTTTTGTTGGTAAGGGACAAAAATGAATTATATGAAGCTAGGATCCAAGCCTGATTCGTTTGAGTCAGATGGAGATAACATCGGGTAATGTTTCCGGCCAATGTATCTGGAGTCTGTTTCTTGTAATTTGATGATGAATCAACCTGTTCAGTTTCAAGATTTTAACAACGTAGGATGAATGTTTTCATCTACAGATACGTGGCAACTGAGTTGGCCAATGATTTAGTTGTGAATGTCGGAGACGTGAAGTTCTATCTCCATAAGGTACGGTTTCATTTCATTTCGAAACATACGAGTATCTCGGATCATTCTCTTGGAAATGACACTAAAGTTGTGAACTGTATTGCATTTAGTCTCCTCTTCTACCCAAAAGCGGTCGCCTCCAGAAACTCGTCGCGACCACAGGCGAAGAATCCGACCAAGATGATGAAATCAACATCCCCGATATTCCGGGTGGGCCTGCAGCTTTCGAGATATGTGCAAAATTCTGTTATGGAATGATCGTTACTATCAATGCGCACAATGTTGTTGCCGCCCGTTGTGCAGCTGAGTATCTTGAAATGTACGAATCCGTAGATAAAGGGAATCTCGTTTACAAGCTCGAGGTTTTCTTGAACTCGAGCCTTCTCAGAAACTGGAAAGATTCAATCATCGTTCTCCAGAACTGTAGAGAGTTTCATCCCTTGTCTGAGGAGCTGAAAATAGCAGGACGATGCCTCGAGTCTATAGCTTCCAAGGTGGCCATGGATCCGGCTAGGGTTGAATGTCTTACACATATACCCGGGGGAAATTTCTTGTGCCTCGAGGCATCCCATCGGACTGGTGGGTCGAGGATCTCTCCGAGATTCATGTCGATTTCTACAAACGAGCAATTTCAAAGATCAGAACTAACAGTGGAGTTTCCTCCGAGATTGTGGGGAGATCTCTAGAGGCATATGTGATGAGGTGGATCCCAGGTTTCAGCGATGGAACAGCTGTTCAAAGCAACGATCTTTCCGAACACAGATTGCTGCTAGAAACTATGGTTTCACTCCTTCCGACCAAGAAGCAGAGCGTGTCATGCGGGTTTTTGATCAAGCTGTTGAAAACATCGATTTCGTTGGATTGTGGAAATAGAGAGAAGACAGAACTTACAAGGCGAATCGGACAGCTGCTCGAAGAAGCGACAATGACTGATCTCTTGATCAGAGCGCCAGAGGGAACTGAAACAGTCTATGACGTGGAAATTGTTCAAAGCCTGATCGATGAGTTCGTGACACAGACCCAAAAAGGAGTCGAGTTCGGTCGTCCGGACAATGGTTTTCTCGAAAATGAGAGTGGTGGGTTTGTATCAGATGGTTCGAGAGCTGTGGTGGCTAAGCTGGTCGATGGATACTTGGCCGAAATCGGGAGGGACCCCAACTTGTCTCTGTCAAAGTTCCTTGCCATTGCACAGAAAGTCTCAGATTTTCCAAGAGCATCACATGATGGAGTTTATCGTGCCATCGACATGTTCCTGAAGGTATGTTCTGTCTGAAACTATCGTCTCTGTCAAAGCTAAACCCACCGTGTTCTTCAAACCCTAGACACCTTTTTTGCTTAAGTTAACCAACCAACTTAACCGAATCTCCCTAGTTCTGTTATTCATAACATTTTTGTTAAACAGCAACATCCCGAAGTCAACAAAAGCGAGAAGAAAACGATATGTCGGTTAATGGATTGCCGGAAACTATCACAGGGGGCGTGTGCTCACGCCGTTCAAAACGAGCGGCTTCCTTTACGAGTCGTGGTTCAAATCCTCTTCTTCGAACTGGCTCGTGCCACATCAGGCGTCAAAACCTCTCCCCCACCGAGTGGGTCTAATGGCAGCTCAGCGGACCGATGAGGATTGGGACTCCAGTCCGATATCGGAGGAGACGTGTAATGACGAGGACAAGACGAGTTCGGACAAGGCCAAAGGCGCTGCCATGTCGGGGAAATTCTCGTACCCATGGACCGGTAAAGATAGAGATGGTGACGTCAGAAGCTCGCGATGTCGGAGAGTCCCGGTTTGGCCACCACCGGCGAGAAATTTACGCCGTCGAATCGCTGACAAGGTGATAAGTTCTTGATGTCTTTTCCTGGAATTTATCGATCTCTTGATTTGTTTCTCAATCCTTTTAACGTTATTGATTGTATGCTTGTTCGTAGAGTTGTATCGTGAGCAGGACTAGGTTGCATGGACCAAATGGTTCTCTCTCATTACGTGGTAATCTGATAGAGAAACATTCCAAAGATCCTGTTCAACAAAACTCTAAATGTTACCGGGTAAATAGTGGCCTCTCTGAACATAAAAGAAATAACCAAACTTAGAGCCCGAGCCTTTTTAGGTGCCATTTTGTATCTGCAGTATGCAAATCAATGGAAGAACTCATCGTCTCAATATGTGATTACGAACGCCGCAGCAGAGTTTGTGTGATTTCACCCCCTCTTTTGAAGGATTGCATTTTCTGCAAGTCCTCTTGTTTATAATCTGGCAAATATTTTTCTCGCTGTGGGGTGTAGTGCCTCAGGGAAGAAACCTACCATTCAATGAATGTGTGCCGGTCACTTGAAGTTGATACATGCTCTCTGTTCTTACCTACCGAAGCCTTATTCATCTTTCCTGAAGCTGTTACTTGTTATGAATGTTCTCTATGTAGATCTTGTGGGCAAGCCAAGTTGTGAAGGACCGGCTTTTGAGATCATTGTCAACTGTGCCTTGGCTTATGTCCGACAAGAAACGCATGTGCTGAAATTTTTTCCATATTGGCTATCTAGATATATTGTTCTCAGGAGAAAATGCAAGAATTTTCATGTAAGAAATTTATTTATGAAACAGTGAGTATGGACTCATTTACGTGCAATAAACGTAAAAAAGAGGGGAACAAAAGAATCGATCTAAAGGCGCTGAGCCCTCCACCAATCAACGTCGTGTTTAACGTCCTCTTCATCGTCACTGGATGACGATTCTTCTTCGCCCCTGGCCTCTTTGACAAGACGGCTTCTGTTGTTGCGTCTCGCGGCTTTTTGTTCCGCTCTCTTTCTTGTCAACACTTGTACCCTCTCCGCAAAGGACCCGGATTCCTCGACAATGGTTTCCTCGACAACGGTTTGAGGCGTGTCTATTCTCAAGTCCGACATCCTCTCGTACATCGCCCTCGTAGACTCCGAAGATCCAAGACTTTCCTCCAAATCGACATAAAAGGACCAGAGCCTCGTGTTCTTCTGGACACTTTCCTTCCCACCGGCCGAGGTGGCACGCCTCACCAGCTCCAATGCCCCCGTGAAATTCTCCTGCCTCAACTCCATCTCAGCCCACTCGCACCATACGCTTGCCAGATGATCTACCTGTCTGTACCTCACTTGGACCGCCTTGTCAAATATGGCTCTTGCATTGGCCAGGTCTCCGTCTTCTTCGCACAGCTTGGCGAGTGCAACCCATAGAGAGTGAGGCTCCCCGACCGCTTCAATGGGGTCGACAGTGGCAGCCTCAGAAAGAGCTTTAGCTAAACTCCCTAGATCAAAATCTCCGTCGCCTTCATCCTCTGACAGCGGCGCCCAATCCTTCAAACCAGTTGCGTAATGATGAGACGGCTCACGTTCGTCATCTGCCCACGAACCCCGAAACCCAATTAGGGATTGGGCCATTGTTTTTCCGGCGACAAATCTCAACGACCTTCGACAAAGGGTTCGGCAAACAGTGGAATCTAGCCAAAGCCGACTGCAGAAGTCAACAGAGCCCTGAACCCAATATCGAAAGAGCAGATTTATAATGGGCAGAAGATTTCGATGGAAAAGGAAACATTCCATTTCTTAATTAATTGTTTTCCATTTATTTTTTACTCGAAATTGATTTGTTTTTTTTTTTGGAAACTTTACTTTTCATGTATCGGGATTCAGAATGTTTACATATTTTTCCAGGTCTCCAAGGTATGTTAATTAAATTTTTTTTAAAAAATGTATTATGCAGAAATATATCATAAATATCCCAAACGATTTCTTAATTTGAAATTCAGTTTCCTTTTCCTGTACGTCAGCGTAATTCACTTTTCCTTTTCCTATTATTTTTATTAATTTTTTCTGAACAATTAAAAGATTGTGGTTTACTATTTTTATTTTTATTTGATTCGATTCTATCAGAACACCCTTATTAAAGAGAAGATAATATGCCACGGGTTTTTTTTTTGGAAAAAAGGTTTTCTGTGAATAAATTGTAACATTTTAATTTTATCCAAAAAACATAACTCTAAACCTATCAACCAACCGCCCAAAGTATACCTGATTTACATAACTTTAATATTTAGATTCGGTTGTTTAACACAAAATCAGTCTCTCAATTTCAATTAAACTCAAAACCGGTTTCTGAGGTGTCATATGACGTGGCCGTTTATGAAAACAGGCGACAGTTAAACCGGACAAAAATCATCGTCGTGGCCTCACTGTTTTTGTTTTTTCTAAACCGCACAAACCGGATTTCGGTTTAATTAAACCTCTGAGACGACAATTAAAAAAGAAAAATTTCTGAGCTGTACATGCATACTCATAGGACCCACCAAGAAAATTGCTCATTCTCCATTGCTTTCCAATCATAAAGAGGGCTTCAAAACAAAGAATAACATGGAAGCCGGTGACTTGAGCAGGAAGACAGAGTACTTGGATGCCTGGTGGGAAGCCAAAACTGTTTAGAGATAAAATATGAAGAGAAACAATGCCATCCCATGCGATGATCTACCATGAATGGATTATATAGTAACTAGCAAGTGGCAACACACCTGCCCCATAGTTTGGCCAGTTCCACTGAGGAGCAAGTACAAGCAGAATCTGGAGAAAAATGGGTACTTTGAAGGATTGATTCCGGGTTCAAAGGAGTATAAAAGGTTGATCGAGAACGCTGAGGAGTATTACCGGAAGAGTTGCTTGTTTTCCAAGACGAGGTATTGGTTCTTTCGTTGTATCAACTCTGTTGTGATAATAGGCATTTGGTTAAGGTGTATTATCGACTGAGATTGTGATTTTGATCTGCAGAGAGATTATGACTGCTCCATTGAGGTGCATTGATGAGATTCTTGCTCTGCCATATTCATCAGACGATTTCAAGGATCTTGAAGTTCCTCCATCAGACGATGGTTCATGGCTATATGATGGTGAAGATGAGCTGAACTCCGCTCTTCAAGAGAGGCAGAAAGAGATGGAGATGTATAACTCAAAGATCAAAAACAAGCATAAATCAAGAGAGATGGAGGAATCTGGAAGCTCATCCGCCACAAACATGAATGATTTTGGTCTTAGTGATGTAGCAAAGTCCATGCAACAGTTTGTGCACAAGGTATCTAGCTACAAAGGGGCAGAGGTGGCAGAAAACAGGTTACGCTCTTGATGCTAGTCATGTTTTACCAGTTCTTCATTCTAATTTCTGTTGTAAAAAATAAGCTTCTGAGTAGAAGTTTACACTTAAAATAAAAAAGAAAGGAGTAGAGTGTTTTCAGCTCAGTTCCCCTCCTGCATTCCCTTCTCCTTGTCTCCTTGATTCTAAACTTGTTGTTTCCATTGTCATCTTCTCAAGTTTCAACCTTGGTTTATTTGTGCAGGGATTTCAAAGAAGTCGATTTAGATGTTGACCGTTTCATGAAAGATATGGAATCAATCCTTGGGCGCCATGCTCATCCCGAAGATTCTGATGGTGAAGATGGATTTTGGTATCTCCTTCTCTATGGCTTTTGCTATTTTACTCTTTCATTTGGCAATAGGGTTAGATAAATTGATGTTTTAGTGTATATCCTAACAGAAATTCTGCTGGATATGATTGCATTTTTTCTAGTGTTTTCCTTCCTTTATTTTCCTCTTTCTCCGTCGTAGTTTTAAATAGTGTAATATATATAGATGAACAGATAACGATGTGAAGAGGCTTTCCAAGTAAGATGGAACAATGGAGTGGCATGAAAGGCAGGAACAGTTAGAGTGTACGTTGGGGGATCCGCAGAGCCAGGAGAGATGGAAAGGGCAAGGAAGGATCAAGAGAGACAGAGAAAGAAGACAGGAGGACGACATTAATGGCCGAGTAAAGAGTGGCATGGACAAACAGAACCCGAGAATATGATGCAAGAGAACAAGAGGGTCCTTGTGGAGTTGTCAGATGTGTCTCAGGGAGAAGATCATCAGAAGGAAGTGCTCCTAAGAGATACTGAGGACGACATTAATGGCCGAATAAAGAGACTGTAGCTAATAAGCCATGCCTCTGAATTGTCCGCTTCTATTGCGGTTTTATCTTAGCTTGGCTTTGTCCGAAAAGCTGTTTGTAACCACTATTAATGTAATTAATGATGGTTAAGATCAGATTAACGTTACAGGTAGTATTTATTGATAAATATCAAGTGCTTAAAGATCTGAATTCATATATACATAAATAATTGGATTTGAAGCAATTTTGGCTCATCATCTATATGGCAGTATTTTAAATTTTTATTTATCATTTAGAAAACCCATTAACTACATATAAATTGGTGAACTACCACTAATTTTTACATCCTCTTCTTCAAACTGGCTCGGAAGACCGGTGAGGATTGGGACTCCGGTCTGGTTGGGGAGGAGAAATGTAATGACGAGAACCAGACGAGACCGGAGAAGGCCAAAGGGGGTGATGACGTGTAAAGATAGAGATGGTGACGTCAGAAGCCCGGAGATGTCGGAGAGTCTTGGCTCGGCCACAGCCGAAAAGAAATTCACGCGGTCGAATCGCTGAGAAACGGCTGTACATTTTTAGGAGGGTTATTTAAAAAAGATCTTTTTGAAAAATAGCTAATGTGATCATTTTTCATCGCTTATAATAAAACTGATCATGGAGGGCTCGTTAAAGTACAACAAAATGAGTTTTTTTTTTTTTTTTTTGTGACGGTAGCCCAAAATTCTTATAATATACCCTTGAAGAAAGTAGACATATTCTTTTGCCAAAAAAGAAAGAAAGAAAGTAAACATATTAAATTAGTATGTTGCATACATAATATTCTCTGATTCTGTTAATTAGTGATATGAGATATCTTTCCTTTGCCGACAAATAATCTATCGAGGCATTTCGAGATAAAATCTTCTCAAGATTACTTGTAAACTGCGTATCTAGTGATGGATGTTGTTCTGTCCTTTTCTCCTTGTAATTTGTAATAATACCCCATAATTCGTCAAAGCGAAAGATGCCATGAGAAGAAAGTATATTTATATACAAGGCCTACCAAATTTGACCACGATTCTAATTATAGGATTCGGCTTATTTCATGAAGCTTCTTTTTTTTGATAAAATGTGATTTGGTATTAATATCGTAAGGTTTTCAACCTGTACAAACCAGTCCCAAAGTTAAGACTGTATAATAGCAAAATAAACTGGACATCCCATGTGCAAGTGGTAAAACTTCTTCCGCTTAGGTAGTGTTTCTTCCTCCTTGAATCTCTTGTATTATCGCCGTCTAATGCATTCAGTTAACAAATACCAGTGTTCCAAAAGTACACTGCTCTTTGGGTTTTTCCTCACCTTCCCTGCGAGTAAGATTGATCTCATCGAGCTGTCCACCTTCTTCCGCAACATCTCGACCGTCTTAGTCTCATTCCGAAAAATTCTGGCATTACGCTCAGCCCATAGTTCATAAACAGCAAGCTGCAGAATAAGTCTCGCCAGTATCGGTTTATTTTTTCCATCATCCTGCCGGCTCCGAGTGATCCAGCTGACGGTAGCGCCAACTGAGTCTGGCGGTGAATCCTAGCAACATGCTCCAAAGTGCTCCCATATGCCCCGACTGTAGCAACAACCGAAGAAGAGATGTTGGTGCGACTCTTCCTCGATGCCACAGAGGACGCATCTCGTGTCTGTCTGTATCTGCCATCTCGTCAAGCGATCTCTCGTTGGTAACCGCTGCATCATAACCTGCCAAAGAAGGAACGAGTACCTCGGGATAGCCTCGCGGAACCAAACAACCCCATGCCAGGACACCTTGGGTTGGGCAACTCTGATCAGCTTCCAAGTCAAGCTAGCTGAGAAGTGATGTTTGTAAACGTTATTCCCCTGCTTCCATAGCGTCAAATCATCACCAGAATCTGCCTGTGGGGGGTCGATTTCCGTCAGCGAGAACAAGAAGGTCTGAATTCTTTCTGTTCTTGCTGCTGGAAGGGACCAATTCCTGTCGCATACCGCATCCGCAACCTTCCCATGTCTGGGTATTCGGAGGAGCCTCGGTCCAAGCTCTCCAATATGTTCTATCAGCGGCCCGTGCGTTGTCCAGTCATCTAACCAGAATTGCGTTGTTTTCCCGTCACGAATCTGTACCTTTATAAAGGTCCTTGCTAATTCCTTTAGCGATAAAAGCTTCCGTAGGTTCCACGATGATGCAGTTGTTGCCTTCGTATCCCAGAATCCCCGCTGTTTAAACACATTTGCCCGAGTCCAAGCTACCCATAGAGACCCCGCTGCTTTGAATTCAATTGCGTTGTTTTCCCGTCACGAATCTGTACCTTTATAAAGGTCCTTGCTAATTCCTTTAGCGATAAAAGCTTCCGTAGGTTCCACGATGATGCAGTTGTTGCCTTCGTATCCCAGAATCCCCGCTGTTTAAACACATTTGCCCGAGTCCAAGCTACCCATAGAGACCCGGATTTTGTAAATAACAACCATATTAACCGTAACCTGAACACTTTGTTGTAGTCAGTTAGTTTCCGAAGTCCGATTCCGCCTTCTTCCCGCGGTAGGCATACCGTTTCCCATGCGATTCTAGGGATCAGTCGACATGATACAGAGTTCTTCCACAAGAACTTTGAGCACATGCTATCAATGTTTGATAAAACATACTTAGGTAGCATGAAGATCATGCTCCAAGAGTTGACGATACCGTATACCACGGAGGAGATAAGCTGGATCTTACCTGCATATGATAAGCAACTGTTGCACCAATTTTCCAGCTTGTTCTGAATTCTTTCAATCAGCACCTTATAATCATACTTGGTAAGTCTAGTAGAGCATAAAGGAACTCCAAGGTACCTCACTGGAAGAACCCCAAGACGTAGTCCCAATGAGGCAGCCAATGAGCTCTTTTCCTGATTAGCCATACCCGCAAGATAAATATCAGTTTTAGTTGGGTTCATATGTAGACCTGAAAATTCACCAAACCTGTCCATTATCTTTGTGATTTCAACAAGGGTGCTTCTCTCTGCACTTGAAAAAATCATCACGTCATCCGCGAATGATAGGTGCGTGATGACTGGTTGCTTACATCTCGGGTGCAGCTTGATAAATTTTTGGTATGCTCCTCTATCGAGTAATCTGGAAAGCACTTCCATGGCCAATATGAATAGGTAGGGGGATAACGGATCCCCCTGCCTTAACCCCCGTTTGCCTTTGAAATATCCCGCTAACTCTCCGTTCATTGAGACTGAAAATTTTGGTGAGGTGATGCATACTCTAATCCACTTGACGAATACCGCTGGCAAGCCCAATGCAGTAAGTATTCGTAAGATGAACTCCCAGTCAAGTGTGTCAAAAGCCTTTCGTATGTCCAACTTAATCATGGCGCTCCTTGTACAGCCTTTGCGGTTGTAATCCCGCACAAGTTCCGTTGCCAACATGATGTTTTCCAACATCAATCTTCCCGAGATAAAAGCCACCTGATTTTTAGAGACCACATCCCGTAACACACCCTTTAACTTTTGTGCGAGAATAGAGGATATGATTTTGTATATCACATTGCAGCAACTTATAGGTCGGAAGTCGACCATTGCAACTGCTCCTTTCTTCTTTGGCACAAGTGTGAGGATGGTTGCGTTGATCTGGCTAAGCATACTCCCAGTGGTGAAGAATTCTTGGATGGCTGCCACTACAGAGTTCCCAACACGATCCCAAGAAGAGAAGTAGAACTCCTTTGGAAACCCGTCCGGTCCCGGGGCTTTGCTGTCAGGCATGGATTTTAGTGTATCCACAATTTCCTCTGGTGAAGGTATTCGGGCCAGACTTGTTGCAAGACTGTCTGAGCAACTGAACGCCATGAGCTCTTTGAGCCATTGTACAGTTGGAGGCCTACATCCCCGATCACGACATCCAATCAGCCCCTGGAAGTACGCTACAGCATGTTCCTTCATCTCCTTTGCGGACTCTAACTTTCTTCCTTCTTCGGTCATTAAGAATTGGATACGATTTTTTGCTGTTCTCACCTTGACCTGCCTGTGGAAGAATGATGTGTTCCTGTCTCCCAATTGCAGCCACTTAACTCTTGATTTCTGCTTGAAGAAGGTTTCTTCCGCAGCCATCAATAGCAACCATTTTTCCCGCAACAACTTTTCCCGGTGGACTAGATCTATCGTCGGTCTGTTTAGTAGTTGGTCTTGCACTTGGGTCAGATTTCCAAGTGCTTCTTGCGCTCGCTTGGACAGGTCACTAAGCTGCGACGAGTTGAGTTGGCGCAGGGGTTGTTTGACGGCTTTTAGATTCTTACATAACCTGAACTGAGCCGTACCTTCCCACACTACGGGGTTCCAATTCTCAGCAATGACCTGCGGGAATTCCTTTAACAGTAAAAGATGATTGAAAAACTTGAAAGGCCTTCGTACCTCAGGGATGCTGTTAGGGAAATGGATCAGGCAAGGGGAGTGATCTGAAGGCCCCGCTGCAGTGAACTCAGCATATGCAGTGTGGTAAATGTCGAACCATTTTTCGTTTCCCAACGCTCTATCCAATTTCACCGACAGCAGGTTGCGCGTTTGGTTGTTACACCAAGTATAACGGTCTCCTCTATATGGTATTTCAGCAACATTTGATGTAGATATGCATGTCTGAAAGTCACACATACCCTGTGAAGGTGGTCCTGATGTTTCGTAGTCTGAGCGGTCATGGGGGGACAAAGGTTGGTTAAAGTCTCCCAAAATGACCCAGGGAGTAGCTGAAACTGGTTGATAGTTTGATAGTGCCTCAAGCTCTTCCCAGAGCATTCTTCTTGTAGTGCTCAGATTGCTGGCATACACAAGTGTTGCTACAAAGGACAGGTTCCTCACTCGAGATATTACCCCACATGTAATGGCCTGCGCAGTCGCTTGGTAGATAATCACAGTGACCTCCGGATCCCATACTAACCAAATTCTACCAGCTGGGTCGGCATTATAGTTGCAAAAGTATTTCCATCCCCTCGGAAGTGCATTTGTAATTCGAGAGGCATTAGACGCTTGAATGTGAGATTCCAAAAATCCTCCTACGAGCATTTTGTGCTCCAAAATCCACTTGCGAACAAAACTTTGTTTATTCTGGCCATTCAGGCCTCTTGTATTCCACACAAAAATCATGGGATATCCGTCTAAGTTTAGTTTGCTCTCGCGGCCCGCCGGCCGCGGTCTTTAGTCTTTCCATGAGGTGAACTTGCACCTCCTGTTTTTTTTTTCCGAGGAAGGTTTCTTGTATTTAGCCTGTTTACTCTCTTGGCTCTCTGCCACCGGTGGCCTATGTAGTTGCATGTCTGAGCTCTGTTGTTGTTCTTCCGTAGGTGTTTGGGCATCTACTAAAGGCTTTTCAGTCCCCACAGATTCTTGCTGGTCCTGTCCCTTACTCTGCATTTCTTCCTGAGTTGGGGCTTGTTGTTTTTGCAGATCAGCCGAGGGGACTACATTCTTGCCAATGTTAGCTTTTCTTGGTTTGGTAAGAGGATGTTGCTTCGGGCAGTGTGTTGCGTTATGGCCCACTTCCGAGCATGCTTTACATTGCGGAGGTAACCAATCGTAAGACACGTCTATAGATTGCTCTCTTCCTCCCGGAAGGTTGACCATAATGTTTCTGGGCAGGGGGTTTTGTAGGCTGACTTCGACATATATACGAGCCAGTGAAACATTCTCCTTGGCCTCTGTTTGTCTGTCCAGGTAGAGAGGATCTCCAATACTCGTGGCAATCCGACTAAGGCAGTCCGTATTGTACAATGATTGGGGGACATTTCGGAATGACACCCAGGTGTTGACTGATCTCATCGGAGGCCTTTCCGGGTTGTGGTGGGGATTCCAAGCAGTTACATACATAGGGCATTGCCCTACATACCAGAACTGACGGCCAAGGATGTACGCACGGGCTACAACATTCGGCACCTTAAACAGATACGTTCCATTGCCAGCATTCTGTACTCTTATACGCGGACCTCCCCGCGTCCACAAAGCATTGACTACCCCTATGATTCTACCCATGGCTGGTGGGAGGCCATAGAACTGACCGATCAGAAATTCAGCCCATTCCTCAGTAGAATCATTTATGGATTCTTCTGGAATAGTGATAAGTGGGGCTCCTGATGTATGGATGCCAGGGGTTCCCAATCGTTTAAGCTTCCGTGGTGGAGAGAATAGTTTTTTACTCCTGGTTCCAGCAAAACGGTAGAACCTGGTTTACTAACAATAGGGTCAGCAACTCCGGCACGTGCATCAGTCGGAGAGGAAATTGGGGGTTTGTTGCCTGGATCGGCATCAGAGGAGTCCAGACCAGAGGGGAGACCTAACTTCGCTAGGACAGGCCTAGGAAGAGAATCAGAAGGGGGGCAAGAGGAGGACCTGTTGCTATGTTGCGGTGATGAGCAAACGGTGGAGCGCGGAGGCAGAGGCGTTTGGCCGATGTCCAGCGCAGGAGACAGAGGGGTGGAGGCAGGTTGACGAGGACTTTCCGACGGTAGCTGCGGCGGACGATTTCGTCGATGGCTGGGTGGTAGGGGAATGGGTTGGGGTCCAAGGATGGAGGGCGATGGGGGCGCTGAAGACGAGCGGAGGCGAGGGGCCATATCTGGGTGGCTTTGCTGATCGGCTGTGACCGACGAGCGAACTTTTTTCGCGATTTCCGGCCGGCTGTGGCCGGCCGGTGGTTTCTAGGGTTGGGGACGCGTCGCCTTCGCTATCGCCCAGGGATGGGGAGAGAGAGGGGCAATTTTTTGTTACAGCTTCATGAAGCTTCTTTGTTCCACTTGATCTGATAAACAGATTGAGAATATACTCTTACAGATCATATTTTATTTTATTTGTTTCTTCATTTTTTCCTTTAATTTATTGTGGAATTTAGGAACATTTCCCATCGGAAAATGACCTTTCTTTGAAACATGCTCGAGACATGGCCTTTGACTTCAGAAAATGAAGAGATTTCACATTTCACAACATCAGATTATAGTTTAAAACGTGATAAATTCAACCATGCATTCGTTTATTCACGTTATCACCATTTCTATTTGATGAAAAGGAGATTTGCACATTCCCATTTATTTACATGCATGTGATAATGGGAAGTGTAGGGGGGGAAAAGTGAGTATAAAATTGCAATATGGTAATGGTTTTTTTTGGTCCTTTTCCATGTTTGGATCACTATACAATCATCAGATTTCCCTGGGGTCAACGAAAATGGACAAGCCAGGAGGTGACGTGGCCCAATCTCCACCACTGCCGTCCTGACGGAGGCGTTTAAGGCACCACAAGTCCTCCGGCGAGAGAATCTTCCAGTGAGGAATCCCATCACGGAGCGGCTCACAGCTCGCCACCTCAGAAGCCACTACGGCGCAGCCATTTTTTCCGGCGAGGTTGTGGGCGTGACAGCAAAGCGCCTCCACCATCTCCGCCGCGTCTGGGCCTTCGCCTCCTATTCCGTACATGAAATGCATGGCGAACGGCCGAAACACGTCCGGAAACGACGGTATCTTCAGGAACGGAAACGCGGCGTCCAAGAAGCGCGAGGTCTTGGCGAGAGTGCGTTTGAAACGCGACGTCCCTCGGACCTGGAGCCTGTACACGTCCTTGCTGTTCCACACGCTGAGAATCGCCCATGACCCGGGCGGCTCGGAGAGGAACTCGGTCGACCCGGGCCACGACCGGGCTGAGTACTTGCCACGTGGCAACGCGAGGAAAGTGCCGAGGGAGAGCTTATTGTTGAGGATGGAGCCAATGTCGGAGGGAAAGAACTCGGTGGAGGAGAATCGGCAGAGATAGAGGAGCTCAGCGTCGGAGGGAGTGAGTCGGATGATGCTGACTCGGTGGGAGACGGCGACTCGGTGGTTGAAGACCGGGTGGACCAGGAAGGTGGGCGTACGGAACTTGGAGTAGCCGCATTTCTCAGTGAAAAGCTTGACCGACGCGTCGTTATTGCTCTCCGTTTGTAGGTATGCATATACGGCGTCGTTTCGCCTGAACCACTCTTCCAGTCTCTGCACCAACTTCAGTCCAATGCCCATCCTCCTATTTTTTTTAACAAATCACAAAAAAAAAATGTGAGAATTGTTTGAACATCAGTCTAACGTCCATGTTTGATGTTACTATAACAAGCCCCATAATATTAATACTACATAACATACATATAAAACCTAAAGATTGTCCATCTTATCCACTGATTACATGACACGTGTACTGTTAATTCCTTTTTGGCTAATTTTTTCCCCTCGTACAAAGAAAATTCGAGTAACGTAACATGAAAACGAACCTGTAAAACGGGGAGACTCGGAGGCCGGAGACGAAGGCGAGTGTGGTGTTTTCCGGCGGATCGACGGCGTATTCCCGACGGCGGTCGGACGGTGCATTATTGCCACGTGTCACCATCTTGATGGTGCCTCTGATCATCCCCACAATCTCCTTGTGTTCGTTCCCGATCTCAGCCACCTGTCAGACGCAATGCATGTCCAATCCAACACGTCAAACTCAAGAAACATAATCCGACAATAACACTAGTGACTGAGAGAGAGTGTGTATGTATATATATAACGGACCAACATGTGGAAAGAAGGAGACTGACGGATCCGGGCGAGCGGGTCGCCCATAAGATCCACCAAGAGAGACCCGACTTGGCAGCTCTTCTCAAGCTCTCCCACTTTCTCCAAGTCCCTGTTTGGATCGTACTCTCTCACCACTACCACAAATTCCCTCCCCATATTTGATATGAACCAACCTTAATTAATTAGCCAAACAAGGATTAATAACAGTTGCTACAGATTCTTGTCTCGATCGGTTTTATGATCGTTTTTTCAGAAGTGGGTGTTGCCATTATGGCCTTTATATATAGTTAGTATTCTCGTTGTTTTTAATTTATCTTTAATTTTAATTAAAACGATTATAGTTTACATTTAATTTCTCTCTTCAGAATCTCTCTCTCTCTCTCTCTCTCTCGCTTTGTTATTTTGTTTAATTTAAAGATTTCGTTAGTGCTCATTTGAGGCCCTTTCGATTCTTTTATTCTTTCCCCCCCTTGAGTTTTGTATATATCGGGTGTATTTTATATCAGCCAGGGTTTCGTACAACTTAGGATATTCGTCTTATAACATTTACGATATTAATTATTATTATTACAAATGCATAACATATGGCAACGCCATAGTTCGGCGTTTAAATTTCTGATATGATATTATATAGTTATTCCAACTACGACGTGTACATCATTGGAGCCAATCTTTAAAAGGGCGAAGAAAAAACATATGGAGTTGACTATATCTTCAAATTAAATTATCTGCAGGCCAAGTTATTCATTCATTGCATCACTTATAATGAATAAATTAATGCATAATTATTGACCTTTTTCTGTTCACAACCATAATAATTGATATCGTTAACCAATCAGCTTGCTTGTTATTATTATTATTATTATTATTATTATTATTATTATTATTATTATTATTATTATTTCGGTTTATTCATTGAAACTAAAACCACATGAATATAAAAATAGCGTGTGATATATATATCGTAATGGGAATAGGTCGTGATTACGTAATAATTTAATTATCATGAAGGCGACCGCAAAAGAGAAAAAAGAAAAGGCGATAAAAAGCTGAAACGGCGGCGGAGATACGTGGGTTTCGGTTATTAAATCGTTTTATATAAATATACATATGATTTTATGGATTAATTTGAATCAATATAGTTTTAAACTTATTTCAAAAGGTAAGTGATGCCATAATGATCCCACATGATTATCACCGTCATGACCTCGACCTCTCCCTTTCCCTCTCTAAGTATTTAACATGTCAAATATCTCTCCCATATATCATTTTATTCAACATGTGTTACTATATGATATACATATATATCTCTCCCATATATCATTTTATTCAACATGTGTTACTGATATACATATATATATATATATGTATATCATATAGTAACAAAATCACACACAAAAAATCACCTTCACACTCCAAGAAACATATTAATTTTAAATGTCGTCCGCCTGTTTGTGTCTTGTGTCTTTGATAGCGAAATATTATAACATATAGTACATATTTTTATAAATCATTCTCAATATTAAATTAGATGTACCAAAAATATGTTAAGAGAATATTATATATAAAGATGAAATCATGCTAATGTAATAGATCGAAAAGAATATGTTAGTTTCTAATTAAATCACAAATAGGAAAATGTAATCGTTTTTTTTTTCAAAAACAGATACTGTACTATAATCTAGTACGTTATTAGAAAAACAACAACACATAAAAACTGTCTTGGGTTTGAACACGTGTCCTTGAATTTACAAATAACAAAAAAGGGTTAGGTTCGGTCCACAGATAAAATAAAATAGAATAAAAAACCGAACCGGGGCGGGGAGGGAGAATCTGCAACGTGTCAGGACGACCTGGGTGGTCCCGGAATATATCTCCTCAAACTTGGGCCGTTGATTTTCCCTCCAACGTGGACCCCACATATAAAAGGAAGAAGCTTTTTTATTTTTATTATTTTGTAGAAAATATTTTCCAGACTTACGAGAGCCGCTTAGCTACTTCGCATGTATCTTATCTTTCTGCGCTCATCATAATGCTCGTACGTGATCCAACGGCTGTATATATTGGTTCCTCCCAAAAAAAAAAAAAAAATAGTTTAAACTACGGTGATAAAGTAAATGGAACCTTATTTGCTAAGAAATCAGTCACTTAAAAAAATAAATTTCGTTGACGCGTTTGCCTAGTTGTATAATTTGGCCTGTTTATTTATAAATCACATGTACTGACTATAACAACCATAAGATCTTGATAACTGCATCTGATAAAAACTATAGGCTACAGAAATCAATGAATTAAAATGGTTACGTGAGAGTTCGGACAAATTTGACCGATTGGTTAATATAATACTCCCTCTGTATTAATATAGATATCGTTTTAAGTTTTTTCACAGTTTTAAAAAAATTTAAAAAGGTCATATATGCCAACATTAAATTCTATCCACATTAATATTCTATTGAAATTTGATATTACCTAGAAAATCTAAAATGATAACTATTTAGAAACAACAAAATAAAAAATAATATCAAATACGGAAAAGAAAATGGAATGAAAATTGATGAGAGACGTGATGTTGCGTTATTAACTAATCTCGTATATTACGTAAGACAACTAATTTAATGAAAGTGCTCTTTTTATGATTATAAATTATAATATTGTTGATAACGAAATACGTAAAAATTGTGAAACAAAGTGGGTCCAGAAACCCCGTTTCTGTCGGTAAATATGTTTTTTTTTAATTACAAAACAGTTTCGTGTGAGATAAGTGATTGAAAATACTAATGAGATCATAATATCAACGACGGGAACATTAATTTAATTCGACAAATAATTATCTAATGATAAATCTATAGAAAAAAAAAACCCCGAAAAAATATGTAATGCTAGTGTCATAATTAAAAAACATTATTGAGGATATTATACGAGAAAGATTTATAACAAGTATGGACATGGTTTTAAATTAAACACTTTATTTATTTTCGTTAACATGTAAAATATAGTATAGAAAATCATTACCTAATATCGATTATATATGCACAAGTTTATATATATATATATATATATATAATTGGTTCATGGAATACATAGAAATTCCTTGTTTCTTTACGGAGTGTACATTCATTGTTCTTCGTGGATGCTTGAGATCATATAAACAATGGTTTGTTGTTATAAAAATGGTTATTCCATTTGTTGTGTTTTTTTTATATTCTTATATTTTCTTTCTCCTATATAAAAGTACAAGTTCTCCATTTTTTTTTATAAATAAAAAACGATAAATGTAAGATTCTCACAAGTTTCCAGGAGATGTCCGCAAAGGCAGTGGAGCCAATCCCAATATTAATTACTGAAAACGGTACGCTTAACATTTGGGTTTTTCATAACATTTTTTTTTTTGTAATAATAATCAAACCATCTTATTGGAATTACGCTCTACTCTCTAATTTGAGAATTGAATCCGAATTTTCAGAACAAATTAGAGTTGTATAATTATTTAGTTTTAACGCTATATTGATTCAAATTGATACATTGTATCCATCTTACACACACATATATATATATATATATATATATATATATATATATATATATAATATTCACCCTTTAACAAACAAAATTAAGTTTGATATTATCTAAATAACTATGGTTCGATTAGTTATATCAATAGCATATATTCTAGTCATCATTATATTGGATGCTTTTTTTATATTGTAATATATTTCCAAGTGAGCACGATACACCTATGTGATACCTCACTATAAGGAAAAAGGACCAAAACTTAGATATAAACTTGATTTAGGTTCAAAATGCACATATATCGAACTCTCTTAAAAAACACACACCAAATCTTTTCGTGGATTCGTCTTGGATATTGGTTACTGATGTCATGTTGATTCCGATTACCTATATATACTGCTGTTTTTACAATTTCCAGTGTATATATATACAGTAGTGGACCCAAAATTCTTTATAATTGGGAGATTAATGCGCTTAGTGTATTTTTTATATGTTAGTAATTTAAATTTACTTGGGGGCATTTAGTCATTTTATCAAAAAATGTATGAAATTTATAATGAAATTAAATTTAGAAATGGAGGCACAAGATCCCACTGTTAACATGCTGGGTCCGTCCATGTATATTTATATATATCCAAATTGGAAAAAAATATAAAAAATATAGGTATATATATATATATAACAGATTTTGAAAGGTAAAATAACAAAAAGGAGACGAAGACAAATATTTTTGCAATATTGAAAAAGCCTACCATTTATGAATTTATAATACCTTGCGTGATATATCGTTTTTATATCCGCGTCTTATTTTAAAGTGTAAACTTATAAAACAGTTATTTGTCAAGCAACTTCTAGGAACATTGCTTCGGAATATTCATATGCTTGATTTATTTTCTAATATATATATATATATATATATATATATATATATATATTGTGTGTCCACCCAAAACCGTTGAAACTTGATCAAACAATTAATTAGTGTTAATCATGATTAAAAAGAACAAGATTGTATGCTTTTAAGTTTTTTGGGTTCTTGTATGCTTTTATTTATAGACAATTTGGACCGAGCCAGTGTCAACATATTTCGAAGATTATGATTGAAATAAATATCTTTTGGGATCAAATATCTATCTAAACCCAACGGGCTCAGAAATTCGTATAACCATATCTAGACTATTAAATTGGGCCGAACAAGAGGCCCATTTAGAATTTGATTTTTTAGCCCAATTTCAGAGAGGAGCTATTTGACAAGGCATAAACGGGAAAGGAAAAAAAAAGTTTCTTCTGTCTTTATATATTTTTTTTTGGGTCAAATATTTGTTACAAAAACTTAAGATTGGAGGGTAACCACCAAAAAGAAAAGGTGATTACACTTTCATGATTTAGAAAAAGAAAATAGTTTTGAACTTCGAAACTAACGCAATAATCCGTTGAAGAATTTCATTTTCATGTATTTATGTCGTCATCGAAACAATAACGTATAAACATCTTATGCTCCGACAAATCATAGTGAAGTGGAGAAGCCCGTTAAGATTGTGTACGTATGCGGAAAAACGGCGACGTTCGATAATTTTTTGGGTAAATGGGTCTTGTGAGGAATAATTATAAACCCATTATTTAATTTCATTACTTTGATCGTATATATAGTTATATATATATATATGTGCGTGTGTGTGTGTGTTCGTGTGGGAAGTGTTTGATTTCGTCACCAAGCTGCAAATGCAGCCTAGACTTTTTATGTGAATATATACATTGTAGATATATATATGTATGTATTTTTGTATAAGATGTGCCCTTAAGCAAGTGATAGGGTCAAGTGGTGGCTTTGTTCTTTGAAGGGTCAGCTCATTCCCTAACACGAAATCAATTTTGTAACCCTCAATTTTGTCATTTTCCCATCAAGTGTTTATATAGTGACGTACCGATAAGCTATCATCACAATATTTAAATTTGTTTCCACCTAACACATGATTAACTACTGTTATCATTGAACTTTGATTCTTTGCCTTAGAAATCAAAGGAAATGATATGAATAAGTTGTTTTTCCTCGGACATAAAATTCATACTTATATGCATATACAACTTCAGACTTCAGCGGCGCATCTACATCATTTGTAAATTTTTTTTTGTATAAAACTGAATTACAGTGCTTGATATATGTATGATTCACAATTGTTTACGATTTGGGCTTAAAAACCCTGTAATTTTATAATTTTCAGATATTAAATAACAAAAAAAAAAAGACTCGGGAAAGAGACGAGTCCGCTAACTGAAGAAACAAAAAATTAGGAGAAAAAAATTTCAAGTTGAAGAATTTTGGGGAAAATAAATAACTAGACAAGAATAAAGATCCATTGGACAAACTATTCGCGGAGACACGGAGCCGCTTGCACCCGTGTCTTTGGAATCTCTCTCTCTCTCTCTCCAGTCGCGTCAGCTCCAACATTACATTACTATTCAATTTCACTTCACCCAATTAAAAAATTGTTTTCTTTATGTGTATGGAAATCCATTAAGCATTAAATATAAAAAAAAAATAGGCTGATGTAAGAGATGATGATAGAACTATTGAACTATATAATTGCATAGCCTCAACATATATATATATATATATGTTTTTGTCCCATCCGGGGCAGTTTTTGTATGAGAATATGGAACGTAATTATATTCGACGAAATTCCCTCTGTTTAACAACTTATTATACTGTGGCCACTGGCCAGCTTCATGCCATATGCAGTATGACCTTGGCCTCCTTTCATACTTCTTTTCTTAAAATATTTATTATTCGAATATGATTTATATATATATATATATATATATATATATATATATGGCAACATGACTAATTCTTTTTTACTCAATTATACATTATATATATATAATGGCCTGCTCCATCTCCAGACATTGAATCTCTTCCCTAAATTTTTTATTCTCTCTCTCCGGAAAGATTTGTTGCTTGCTCCCAAAGCCAACATTCATCTCTTCTTCTTGTTCATGTGAATCTCCAAACAATTTACCAACCAAAGCATAGCAAATAAGCGTGAGTGAATTGAGATATTCGAATATGAGTTGCAATGGATGCCGTGTCCTGCGGAAAGGATGTAGCGAGAACTGCATCCTTCGGCCGTGTATTCAATGGATCCAGACCGCTGAAGCTCAGGGCCACGCCACCATCTTCGTCGCCAAGTTCTTCGGCCGCGCGGGCCTCATGTCCTTCATCTCCGCCGTGCCGGAATCCCAACGGCCAGGTAACCGACCTCCCCCAGATCTCTAACCGACGATCTCACCCATTCCACCAGGCCGTTATCCGTCGCTGATTTCGAATTGTTCTCCAATTTCAGCTCTGTTTCAGTCGTTGCTCTACGAAGCTTGCGGGAGAACAGTGAATCCGGTGAACGGCGCCGTCGGACTGTTATGGACAGGGAACTGGCGAATCTGCCAAGCGGCGGTTGAAACGGTGCTCCACGGAGGTTCGTTGCAGCCGATCCCGGAGCTTCTCACTCGCGGCGGCGGTTTCGCAGGATTTCCGTCGCCGATTTCCGACGAAACATCCGAGATCTGCACGGAAATACTGAATCTCCGGCGAGACGTTTCCGGAGACCGTAATACTTACCACCACTGCCGATTCTCGAGCTCTAGATCCAGATCGACGGTTTCTCCGCCCAAACGGAAACGTTTGGCTTCAGAGCAACCGTCGTCCGGGCTCGATCTCTCTCTCAAGCCAAATTTTCCGGTTAAAACGGCGCCGTGCAAGGAGGAGATACGGCGGGCGGGAACGCCGTCGATGAACTCGGAGGAGTCCGTAACGATGACTTTGACGAGGAGGTCCACGTTTTGGGGGAACGACGTGGGAGAATCCACGAAGTTGCTCAACCTTTTTGTATGAACGGCGTCGTTTTTCCTCTTCGTGCTCAATGTTATTTTTTGTAAAGTATCTGCGAGTTGCGAAAATTTTCTCTGTTTTCGAGGTGTTATTAAATTAGTAGCTTATAAAAGGGAACAGTGATAATCATTTTCTTCTGTTTTTTAAATCTATTTTTAATTTAAAAATTTCTGCAGCGCATATACATATACCAACAATTACGCATAAATGTAATTATCGAATGTATTTTTAAGGTTTTTTGTTTGTTTGTTTTCATATAATCAATGATGATGTCAACGCGAGTACGCAAGCAGAGTCCGGAATATAAAAGTGTGCATGTGATATATTAATTTATGTGTTGGCATTATCTTCATAACTTCCCATAATGTCGACATTTCTTCGAGGATCACTACTCGCTAGCTTTAGTTGTATTCCCCTTTCAAATAGTTTTATTTCAATGTGTGGCTAATTTGTTGTATCGAATAAACATGGATCGTATAGAATAATTAGGTACGGTCTTCTTATATATATATATATATATATATATATATTGCAAATATGAATTTCTATATAGGTTTATTTCTGCCCTGATATGATATGACAGGTTCGCATAACTGAAATCGAGGAACCAGTCAGAGTAAAAAGGCCATAACATACAAATGTAAATATACGTGTGTATAATGAAACAAATATAATTATAAGAGGAGATAGAAAAAATGTTGGAGAAAATATAAGATTAAATAGCAAAACGTATCGATTTATATTCAACAAAAATAAATAAATATAATAATTGAATTATACAATTGTACCATATCTATCATATATGCATGTGGTTGGACCAAAGCGGCTTTTGGATAACGCAAAGTGCCGGTTTTCTTCATGGAATCTTCAAAAGCTTACACCCCCTCTCTCTCTCTCTCTCTCTCTCTCTCTCTCTCTCTCTCTCTCTCTCTCTCTCTCTCTCTCTCTCTCTCTCTCTCTCTCTCTCTCTCCCTGTATGTTTTTTTTGTTCTTTGTCTGATTCCTCTTGGTTTTGTCTTCATTTGTGTCCTTTAGATCGTGTTGGTAGTAGGCAATTAGAAATGGAATATCATCTTCTTTTTCCTTCCTAATGGACTATCGTTACACTTGACAAATTGTAATATACAAGGCTTTTTGCTCTCTGTCCTCGAAAAAATATTTGTCATGTGTAAATATATATAATAGTGTTTTGTATCTATAGGATATATATTATGTAAATATAACATGTACGTACAATAAAAATGTGGGTCATTCACATGTTACATCATAAAAATACAAATTGTGGGTCGATATATGAGGGGGAAGATATTATATAGTGGGATCCATATGCAGGCGTCATACTTTGGGCCAGCGGCCAGCCATCCAATTGCAAGCGAAAGGAAGTGGTCCACGTCAGCCTCCATCTCCTATCCACAAGAAGGATTTTTTAAGTTTATCTCATATAAAAAATATCTTAAATATCCCAAAATTCTATAGTATCACGAAATTTTATTTGGAACCAGACTTTAAAACCAGAATATCTGTTTTTGTTGATTCAAACATGTTTTAGAACGAATATCTAAATGTTTTAATAATAATCCGATTAGATATCCGAAGATCCAAGATCATATGTTTTTGTATGTTCCTACGCGTTATACTATAAAGTGGCAATTGATGCAAAGAAAACAGTGGAAATCTGAAACATATTCCTTATATATAAGTATATAAAGATGTGATTTTCCCAATACTAATTAAGTTATAATTACAGGAGAGAGTAATACATTATTATAAAAAAAATGAACATTATTCTATATATTGAACATGAAAAATATATAGGTACTATCTTCCGCCATCCATGTGAGGGTAGTGAACCATCTCCACTGATCTCGGGGACATGTGCCCACTTCATTTTCTATCCTCCAACTTCTGATCTCGTCCGTCCGTTTGCATTCTAATCATCACATATATCAACTTTGCAACTAAAAATTATAATAGTTTAATTAGAGGAAGATTCATTCTTGTTTAAAATACCTCAAGCCATGCATAAAATGTATATATACGTCGAATGAATTAAATAATTTACAAAACAAATTCGTATTTTTTTTTGGTTGCTAATAAATAAGAGAGTGATCGTGTTGTGTGCGAAAAACCACGAGCCGCCGCAGTTTTGAAGTGGTCAACCCCCAACTCTACCATGCCCCACTTGCCACCTTACACATATTTCAACCCATCAATATATATCTTATATATTATAACATTTCATATTAAATGTTGTATTTTCAGTCAGTTTTATTATAAAATAATGTCTACACTATATACATTTCATACAAAATGTGTCGTGCGTGACAGTGCGTTAATGCATGAGATGCATATTAAAAATATTATCTATGTGTAGTTATATTATTGTTCTGAATATAAAAAAAGAGAAAGATGTGATGCGGAATCCGCGACCGCAGTACCATTGAACTAGGGCACAACCATGAGCGACGAATTCCAAGCTTCTTGGTGCCGACATAACTTCTACCTCTTCTTGTCCCAATATAAAATTAAATTAATTATAATATATTGATTATTGGTTTCGCACTAATGCAGAATAAATTTCGGACAACTTTTGGCAGAATGTCGAAATACCTAATCTCTGGAAAAGCTAAGGTCGTTTGTAAACCTTCCGTCGTCGGAGTGGCTCAAGAGTCATATGGCCCTTCAGCGTTTTCTCTAGTCCTAATCCTATCCAATACACGTCAGCCATTTCGGGAGCTCTCTCTCTCTCTCTCTCTATATATATATATTATATTTATATATGTAATTGAAACTAGAAATTTAGATATTGAGTCAAAAACCTAATAAAAAGAAGGTACTTTATGGATATGAAAAAAAAAAGTAACTAGAGAACCATATAAATACATAGAGATTAGAGTCGAGAAGGTTCCAAGAGAGGGTGGGAAGAGTTGCGAAATCATAGGACCAGCTAAGATTTTGGAGAGATCGGGACAAGGACGGTACGGTGTCCGACACAGATCATCCACGTGACTTGTTCCCGAATCACAGGAATATTTATGGTGGCTGTGGCTGACTTATAGTTGCTACACTTTTAGACATGCATGCACGTATATATATATATATATATATATATCGTAAAGAGAAACTAACAGGCATTTAATATGTAAAGTCTAGTTCGGATTTTTATGCTACGGAAAATAGGCCCGTGCGCGCCAATAATAGTGCCATTTCTTCATATTCTTTACAATGGGCCAACAGTTCGTTAGCTCATTTTTGGGCAATTTTAGGCCCATTAACGTTTACTTTGTTATGAATTAAGCCCAATGGGCTTTTTTTCTGTTTGTTTTTTATTGTATTATTATTACTCTTTTTTTTTTATCAAGAAATCTTTCATGATTCATGTGAGTCTTAACTTCTACAAGATGTACCATATCTACAAGATAGTAAGGATAATTTCATAAAGTTATCTGGACAAGTTGTTTTAATAATTTACAACATATCTAGAAAAAAAAAAGTTGGTCCAATTTTATGATGCTATCAAAATTCTTTAATTGTCTTTATATTAATGGCGCAAATCAGGTTTAATTTTTAGAAATTTTGTAATGTAAAACAGAAGAGTTGATCACATGATTTTTTTTTTTTTGGGAAATAACTGATGCATCGTTACCTTAACCAACTCATCAATTTTAGTACACATTATACAAGTGAAAATGTTATTAAATTCTCTCTATTTGTTTACATTTGTCAGCCCCCTAACCGACCCCAACATATGGCTTGATAAAAATAAATAAACCGTCAAGAAGTCAAACTATTGTCTGAATAAGCGATCGGGCTTTCAAAAGAAGGGGAAATGATTGGTCCGTTCACTGGAATTTCCCACGTGATACTTTGACCAAATGTTGACTCTCTAAGGAAGAAGCTTCTAAAAACGATAGAATAGACAAGACTCTCCCTGCGTCTAGTTGCCCCCAAATCATTTCCCCCTCTTTCCC